AAAAAAAACACATTGGATCTAGAGTCCAGACTCTTAAAAACATCGACAAGAAAAAATACTCTTGATTCAATCGGATTTCTGCTTAGATCAAGAACCAAGCCTTTTAATTTGAGCGGCTTTCCTTTTGATTTAAGCTTAAATCTGATTGAATCAAGAGGCCTTTCTCTTGTCAATGTTTTCAAGAGTCTGGACTCTAGATCCGATGTGTTTTTTTTTTCCAGTGAAGGGGAAAAGGAAAATAAATTAACAATGGACTGATTTAGTGACTACGTCATTCGATATGATATCTAACTCTTGGCTCAAAACAAAACAAACTAACATAAAACCTCATGTACGAATTTTCATGAGTTGATTTTAGTTCATCAAAATTTAGTCATTGAACGGTCATAAATCGGTGAAAGACTCATTAAACACTAGAAATCTCGATTGGAAGAAACGTTCGGACGCATAGGGCAAAAGGCGCGAATCAGAAACAAGGTTTTGAGTTTGTTTACATTTGAACCAAGGATTCGATACTATGTCGAATGACGTAGCCACTAAATACATTTCCCAATTAAATGTCAATAGCTGATGTGGCTTGGTTCCTTTCTGCTTAACGCGGTCCAAATATTGACCTTCAATGAGAAAAATATCGTTGAATTAATGAAACTCAGCCAGAGTGGGCCCAAAAATGGCCATAATCGATATCCCTACTCTGAAAAGAAAAAAGATCAGAAAGTTGGAGGAAGAACGGAAGAAAAAACAACGAAGGAAATAGAAGAGGAAAAATGGCAAAGAAAATAAAAAGACAAATATTGAAAAAGAAAAAGCTTAAACCAGAAAGATTGAAGAATGGCGATTCCATGAACTTGAGCGGTTTTTCGCTCAGTGCGGCAGAGCACACTCACATGGTTCTTCGGGCCGGAGACAGATACATAACCGCGTGACTCCAATGGGATTCCAATGGTTATGCGAGGTTTTTGGCCCAGCGCACGTAGAATATTTGCGTGACTCGAGCCCTTGCCGTTGTACGTTTGTTCCTCGCTCGGCGACAAGAATAAAAGCTCGCCTTTTCACGGTTTACAACTCCGTTTCACGGTGAGTAACCGGTGCAAATGTGTGTCTCTTGTCTCTCCCTAACCGATGAAACCAAGGTAGTAGGGGGTGTCATTACCACGGTGGATGACGTCATAAACCAGATGTTTCAATACACGGTTAATATTGAGCGTAGAGACTTGCTGTTTGGACTGCTCTTATTATTTTTCGCTGATCTACTAAAATCCAGCATCAAAACACGATTCTTTGACTAGCGCAACTAACCCATTAGAAAAAACTAAAACCATCAGCTTGCGTATTTAATTCGAAGAATGTCGCTAACTCATTTTCGCTAAAATTGGACGTATTTCTGTCAAACGGAACTATGTGCATTAAGACATGAGCCCTGAGACCCCATAGATCATATGCATAGCAGGGCTCACGTCATAATGCACATAGTGCCGTTTGGTAGACGGATAGGACGTATACTTTTAAAAGAGAAGTTGGACGATTTTGAAAACTGTGTAATTGCGCTGGTCCCGTTTTGCTATATGCGATTTAAATGCTACTTTGAATGCCTCCTTATCTGCGCTCTTGTCCTTGACATTGCCCATGAGTCATGACCACAACTAGCATTCAGTATTGTTGTGGCCAGATATCGTCTGCCTCCGTGGCGCAATCGGCTAGCGCGTTCGGCTGTTAACCGAAAGGTTGGTGGTTCGAGCCCACCCGGGGGCGTTAATTTTTCCACGCCGTCATAGTCATACTCGTGGCGTCCAGGACCACGAAAAACCGGGAGTCACGCGCGATGGTCAAGTCAGAGGGAGGGGTTTGGGGAGTCGTCTGGAGATTTCGCTTCCCAAAAATGTTAACTGTTTTCCAGGGGCTGCGTACGGAACCCGCAACTATTATCCGAGGACTCTATGAGAAACTTCGAAACACAAACCATATTTTTCTTCAAAATTCTAAAACTAAAATTTTCCTGTTTCTATGTGTTTTCATGGCTTACTGAGTCTATTGAAACAGCTTTAAAGTATCTATTTCACGGTATTTCATTGTATAAAGTCCCATGAAATTCGGCATCTCCAGTTTGGATCCTCTGGGAAACTTTAGGATTTTTTTTTTACCCCGAATCACCCCCCACTCCCTCTTCCCGGAAGAAAGTTCTTACCGTAGACCTCCAGGTTTATCAAAATGTCAGGAAAAGTTAAATTATTTTAAGGGCATCTCTAAAAGTGATACAATAACTTAAAAAGACCTTGAAAATTTTGGTTGTTCAGAGAAAACATAGGAGAACCACGAAACGTTTGGGTATAGTAATAAAATGTCAGACAAGACGTAGAGAAACCAGGAGAGTTCCTGGAATTCTTGCAATGACAGGAAAAACTCAGAAACCAGGTTGGATTTGAAAATTTCGACTTAAACTGCAGATTTAATGTCAATGTCCTCACATCATCAATTATAAGTAGGGGTTTCTTCTCGCAGGAACTTTTACGAGAAAACAATGAAATAAAAAAACTTCAATGAAATCAAAACCTCACGTTCCGTATTAACATCTTTGATATGAGCGTCGAGGGTTTCCTTATTTTGTCCGACTCCTCGAATTGACTCGCTCCACTGAGCGCCGCTCGTGATGCGGCGAGTGACTCAAGTCAAAACGCCTTCAATTCCGTGCGTATGCAACACGGACATCCATGGAGCCCGAATAGTTGCATTCAGGCGTTATGATGAATGAATGTCGTTTAGTATCCGTCGCATGCGACGCTAACTGAAGCTTCGATTCGTTTCGTATACCGTAACTTTACCTGATCTGCCGATGACGTAAAACATTACTGATTTTCATCGCAACATTGGCAATTTTCCGAGAAATGCATTATTTAAATGTATTACAATGTTGCCGGCTCTCGAATTCACGAAGAATTAGGTATCAGAGCATGATATATAGAGCTTCCTTTAATCCACTTCAACGACTCGTTCTATGTTTTTTTTATATATATATATATATTATTTGTTTTTTCTTCGTTCGGGAAAACTAATTTTTACCGCTTACGTGTGAAATTTTCTAAGATTAATCTTGATATATTTAAAATTATATAATCGACCAACTGTAGCTAGTCAATTATTTTACCACTTTCTTTCTTAACTCTTATGATATTAAGTAATTAATCTGTTGTTACTTCCACATACATTACTTATAATTTAAGTTAATTGTATGAATTCCCTGTATTGGAAGCTTACAGTAAAATAAATCTTTTTTTTTTAAAGAAAAAAAAAGAAAAAAAAGAAAAAAAAACAACCCCTGCTGAATCGCACGGAATTTGGAATAAAAATGATGACAATTTGTCTTTCGACAAAATGAAATGCGACAGGAAATCGGTAACATCGCAATAACTAATACACGCATACTATTTCCTGGTTGCACTGGCGAAACTATAGCACATTAAAGTCTGGTCAATATATGAGTGAAAATTATAGAATGCGAGTCCTATCGTCTCATGAAATGTTGGCTGTGTCTAGTATTTTTAATCTTGCCTCCTTGGTTGTTTGCTGTGAGTAAACAAGAGATAGATAAGCTTTCAGTCGATGATCTCTAATAAAAAACGAAAGTGTAAAAAGTTTGAACGATTTTTTCCCGTATGGCCTTAACGCTTCAAAACAAGCTCTTCCAAACTGAGAAGGTGTCGTTCTACCCTTAGTTGCCTTGGTTTGCCGATTATTAATAATTGATTCTTACTGGTTTCCAGTTGTGCTTTCCTCTGTTATTCTTTTCCAAAATGCACCCTCAAATGGACCGCGCACTGAAAAAAAATTCTCGGCGTTTTTACCACGGTCCGTTGGTACCTTTACCATCTCACTTTTTTACCAATTATTGGCAATTTTACAAAGACAGACTGGTAAGCTTACCTAAAAACCGGTATTTTTACTGTTTTTTTTTTTCAGGTAAGAATACCACTTTTACTCGTAATCAATTCCCGGTAACTTTGTAATTTTATCTCGGTAATTCTACTACAGTCGATAAAAAAAATTGGCGTTTTTACCAAGGTCCAGTAAAATTACCGAGAAAGTTCAATAATTTTACCGAGATTCCTCGGTAAAATTACCAATTCCATGGATGGTAATTTTACCAAGAAAAAACTGGGATCAAATAGAACCCTGAATTCTTGGTAATTTTACCCTTTTCTCAGTAAATACACCGAGATTTTTTTTTTCAGTGCGCTAAGCAGAGCGGGACCAAGTCACGTCAGCTTTTGCCAAATTTAATCGGGCAATTTGATTTTTCTTGAAAACCGTAGTGCGGATTTTTGTGCAAATTTCAGTGAATTTTCTGCATAGTAGGAAGCAAATCCCCTAAAATTTCTAGAGGAATCCACACGACTGTTTTCATGTAAAAAAATAAATTGCCAAGTTAAATTTGGCAATAGCTGATGTGGCTTGGTTCCTTTTATCTGAACGTGGTCCAAATAGCGAATCCCAAATGTGGAAATGTAAATGCCATGACGAATAAATTAATTTTATTCTTGCTTATACTTAATTCTTTTTTATATAAAGTACATGAACGAAGAACGAAAGCGACTTTTTAGAAGCTGTTCTGCTTAAAGGCAATTTTGGGTCCGATAGGGCTTTTTTGCAGCTACCTTCTCGATTAAATAAACTAATTCAACTTCTAATTATTCAATCTCATATATACCATATTATTGAATCATACTTACTTTTCTGCTCTTCGTTTGTATGCTAACTTCGTCATTCATGCGACTTGTATTGACCGCTCGATAAGAACAATTGAAGTCGTTGGTAGATAACGCTCCTTTTTTTTCTTTTTTCAATTTATGCTCAATGCTTCTCGAGAGCTGCGCATTTTATCCTCGGGTCGATCACCTCTTCTTTTCACTTTTTTTCTCCTCGAGTAAAGCTGGAAATCACCCGTCGCACGCGTCAAAATCGAGGCCCTGCCTACTATTTTCGAAAATTCTGCAGAAATCCGGCACTTTTGAAATCGGTGGATTTCCAAGGAACAATTTTAATCGTCGGATTTCAAACGCAGACACTTCTAATACTCGAACATTCCGCGCTTTTTCATTTTGAACCTGTCTCTCGCTTAAAAAACGAACGTTTGCCTCAAGAGAGGTTGATTTTTTGTTGCATCGTAAATTGTTCTTCAAAGCTGGGTTTTTTCCGTGCTTTAGGAGTTCGAAAATGAAGTGCCAGGTTTTAAATACCGTCGCTTTCCTCCGCCGAATGTTCACCAACGATTACGTTATCATCGCGGGAAGAAACTTCGTGAATAGGTTGCTTAATGTATGAACATGTTTCACGTTATGCTCATTCACCAATCTTTAGTTTTTAAAATGGTTCTCATCACAAAACAGCACATTGTCTTTCCCTCCGTTGATGCAAAATCCTGCGCGTTAAGGATGGAGATTCATCTGTTGAAAACTTCAAAATAACACGCGAACTCCACTTCCAGTTTCCACCATTGCATAGTTTCCCGATTCTGTCCTCGCGAAGAAAACTCGCGCAAATCAGGCGCCGCACAGAACTTACAAAATATCTACAGCAAATTCAGGGACGTTTCAGGTAAAAGTGATAAGTTTAAATTTGATGTGCACCTATCGCGCCACTAAGCACATTAATTCTCGGGGGAAAAAATTAAAATCGAACGCCAGGCACTATCGGGCGCGGAAATTTTCAAGAGAATGATGTATCATTACCAGCAAGCACAAAGATTTTCGGAAAAAAATTAACATTTTCCACGCCAAAAATAATTTTTTTTAAAAATGAAAAATGGGGATATTATTATCGGGGCTCCGACTAACATCACACGGAATGGTGCAGATTTTTGAAGCAGCAACTGTTGAGACAGCAGTAGAGAAAAAAGAGATTAGGAATCCTATTTCTATCTATCTATCTATCTCTCTCTATTTTTTCCAAGGTTGCCACCGGGACTCTACTCTGAGCTGCTTCCAGCAAACAGCCACCTTCACTTGAAAATAGGCGTGCTCAGATAATGTCACATATATTTACATAATTTTTAGAATTTAAATTGACATTCCAAAGCCACTGAAGTACTGTCAATAGTTTTGTTGACGAGTCACTGCATCATATTTTCATTATATATTTTAGTATCTATTTCGGATTCTGATGGACCCAACCCCTACGTGGGATTTTTGGCGGGAAAATTTGAAACCCGGGGAGATTTCGGCCGGGGACATGGAAGCGAGTATAATTTCCGGAATTAAAATCAATATTTTCAAGCCACTGGAGTATCGTCTATTTGAGGAGTCACTGTGTTAAAGTTCCACTGTATACATTTTAGTATTTATTTGAGTTTTGAGCGTCGTCCGGAGTCGACTGTGTGATTTTTGGCGGGAAAATTTGAAACCCGATAGATCTGGACGGGGACATGGAAGCGAGTATAATTTTCGGAATTAAAATCAATATTTTCTAGCCACTTGAGTATCGTTAATAGTGTTTTTGAGGAGTCACTGTATTAAAGTTTCACTGGATACATTTTAATATGTATCTGAGTTTTGAGCGTCCGGAGCCGAGGGTGGGATTTTCGGCGGGAAAATTCGAAACCTGGGGCCTCCGGGCGGGAAGATGGGTGCGAGCGGGTCGGGGCGAGCGGGACGACTGGAGTATATCGTGCGTCGCGGCGCTACTCGCGCGGAAGGCGGTCTCTGCTTCGGGTTGGGGGCCTCGGGTCGAGTCGCGTCGCGGCGCGGGTTGCGGCAATCCTCGCTCTCCGAGTCGTCGAGACGCCAAGACCAACTCCGAGTCGGAGATCGGACAGAGAAAGTCCGGGCGCCACCGCACCGCCGCACAGTGGATCGAGTCAATTAGAGAGGTCGGACTTGAAATTGTTGACTAAAACTGCAATTTTCTATGTCTATTTTGTCACATTTTAGACTTTAAGGGGTGCTTCTTGAAGAAAATTTCACGAGAAAACCAATGGAACCACTATTAGAACTTCAATGTCTCGTATAAACGGAGTTATAAGCGTTTAAAGTCTCCGAATTTTGACCAACTTCTCCTAATGACTCGATCCTTTGTGCGCCGCACCGCGCCATTTCAAGCTCGGCTCCACTCACCGCCGCCGCCGGAGCAAAGCACCAAAAAAAGCAGGGAGCGTGTAGCGCCACTTGGCGCCACCGCCACGTCATGTCCCTCCGCACTCTTGCCGCACCTCGTGGGAACGGAGAATTTGCAGGTGTGTGATGTTTGATGAATTCCGTGCTTTTAATGGACGCTACCAAGTGAGCTGAACATGTGGATACCCTTGGTTCATAAATTGAACAATTATTGGAGGAGATATGACAAAATGATTTAATCTGCTAAAATACGTGCACTGGAAAAAAACCACATTGGATCTAGAGTCCAGACTCTTGATAACATTGACGAGGAAAAATACTCTTGATTCAATCGGATTTTTGCTTGAATCAAAACAAATCCGCTTAAATTAAGAGGCTTGGTTCTTGATTTAAGCCCGATTCTGGTTGAATCAAGAGTACTTTTTCTTGTCGATGTTTTTAAGAGTCTGGACTCTAGATCCAATGTGTTTTTTTTTCCAGTGTGCGTCTAAGTGGGAAATGCCGCCAGATGACGTCAATAGGCGGCGCATTTTCTCACTTTTAAATCTATATTTGAGGACTTACTTGTAACAATAGCGGATGTGAAAAATTACCTTTTCGGAACACATTCAAAACACTGTTTTGGCATCGAGAAAATTTTGAGAAAATACTTGAGATGTGATCTTCAAGATCTGTACATCATGCCAGAGCCAAACATATTAAATTTTTGTGTGAACAAAACAGTTTTTTAAGCGTGTTTCGGAAAGGTATTTTTTCACATCCGCTATTGTTACAGATAAGTCCTCATTTATACCATCTCCCATATCAGAAAAAAATTATAAAAAATACCGCAAAATCAGCCCTTTAGGCACTTTCAGATGAAGCAATACAAAAGCGTGCAAATTCTCCATCGGGGACGGCATACTTCAGCCAACCCCACCTAATAATTTAATCGTGAGTACAGTCGAACCCCGGGCATCCGCGGTAGTTGGGATTGGAGATACCGCGGATATTCAATAACCACGGATATCCGCGGATAACCACGGAAATCGCAGATAATTCGAACTTATGAACCGCAGACCCATCGGGATAAGTTATTTGAGAGACCCTGCAATGAGCCCAGTAGAACCCTGGTTATCCGCGGTAATTGGAACCAGAGGTATCGCCGATAATCGAAAGTCACGGATAATCCGAATTTATGAACCGCAGACTGGCCGAGATTAGATATTTAAGAGACCCCGTACAAACAGTCTAACAACAAACACAGTAGTACTCCGGTTATCCGTGGCAATTGGAACCAGAGGCGCCGTGAATAATCAAAAACTGCGGAAAATCCAATCTCATGAACCGCGGACCAACCGGGACAAAATATTTGAGAGACCTCGCGGTTATCAGCGGTGATTGGAGGCACCGCGGATAACCCGAACGTGCGAACCGCCGACCTATCGAGATGAGATATCTGAGAGATCCCGTACTAACGATCTAAGCAAAGTAGGACCCAAGCGGTTATCCGCGGTAATTGTAACCGGAGGCACTGCGAATAATTCAAACTTGCAAACTACAAATCAACAGACAAGATAAGCATAGAAGAGTCCCGGGTTATTCGCGGTACTTAGAACCGAAGGTACCGCGGAAATTCCGAACTTGCGCTGAGCGACCGAGACAAAATATTTGAGAGGTCCCGCACTTGCAATCGGAGGACAGCAGGACCCCAGTTATCCGCGATTTTTGCAAGCTGAGGCACCGCGGATTGTATGGCCCTTTCTGTACTCATCGCTTCATGTAATAACAAAAATTTTGATAATTACAGTAAACTTGATTGATTTTTTCGTCTGCTTTTTTCCAGGTGAGTCAGAATTTTCCTCTACACCACAAAGACGCCGGTCCGTAAGTTGTCTCATTTTTCATTTTAAAATAATGTATTCCAAGTTTTCTAAAATTTCATTACTATTTCATCAGTTATGCAAAGTTTCGCGACACACAGAGTAATGGAATCCGGCATTCTCAACTCTCCTAACGGCATTTCTACGAGTATCCAAAATTCCCAAAAGGTTTTTCTCAAAACAACGTTTTTTCAATTAAGGTAGTCTTTTCTCAGGATCTAGTAGATGGATTTTCAAAAGCAATGTTTGTTTCCTATTTCTTTTCTCTAGCTACAGACGATATGGTTTTCGCCGAACTCTCTTCAAGAAACAATATCGGTTTTTAGGGCCCTGTAAGTGGATTTTTTCAAAACAATTTTTCAAAAACTTAACACAAATTTCATTTTTTTAAAATTTTCAAACCTTCCTCTGATCTGAAGCCGAAAGAAAGTCTGAGGAATTAAATTATAAAAAAAGGAAAAGTTTTTGGAAATCTATGGAGCAAATGGTACAAATGGAGATGTTGCGTGTGTGAGAAATTTGCGATTTGTCTATTGTTTTTTATGTAAAAGTTCACGAGAAACACGATGGTGCCACTGGTTTTCTCTGAAATCAACTCCCAAGTTCAGAAAAAGCTCTCAAGTTGAGGCCAAAATGGAGGGGATGTCCCACGCTATCCTGAGAGTCCACCTATACATCAAGACAAACTCTCCATGCAAAGATAAGGAGCAAATACATTAGAAGTGTTGCCGTGTTTTCAATTTTTGAGTCCTCAAATAAAGTGGCAGCCCTGTCAATGTATTTGCTCCCTATCTTTGCATGGAGAGTTTGTTTTGATGTAGAGGTGGACTATCAGGGTAGCGTGGGATATCCCCTCCATTTTGGCCTCAACTTGAGAGCTTTTTTTAAGCTTGGGAGATGATTTTAGAGAAAACCAGTGGCACCATCGTGTTTCTCGCGAACTTTTACGTAAGAATCAATGGTTAAATCGCAAATCCCTCAGACACGCAACATCTCCATTTCGTCTGAAGTTCCTGAAAATTTCAAGGAGAAATTTTCATAATTTTCCTAAAAAATAAACGTTTTATCTGGGGAAATTTGGCAACTCTCGAATGTTCATACGGCGTTCTTCCGTAGCGCGGCAGTATTTTACGTGGCGCCGGCGCCAGGTGGCAACATGGACACGGGCGGCGGCGGCGGCGAGCGCACCTGTGATGTTGGATGACGGCGGCGCCGCGCGCGCCAGAGCGGGCGCCTCCTGGTCTCGAGTCAAACAGTAGGTCAATATGGATGTCAAGTCGCCCTCGTCATCGATTCACCCCCCCCTCCCCCCATCCGTCCTTCCACTAATCGCATCTTTCGGTTTTCCTTTCCTTCTCTTCTCCTTCGACTCCTCTCTTTCGATTCTTCTCTTTCCGCACTTGTCATCGGGACCTCGGAGGATTTTGGCTTCCGTCCAGGAAAATCAGGAAAATATAGAAAATGGAGCTCATGCATGTGTGAGGGATTTGCCATTTAAGTCATTTTTTTTCTTTTTTTCCCTTTCCTTTCCTTTTCTTTACCATTTATTTATATATTCGACGGGGTAAGTCGGCAATCACATAACTCGATTTGCGACGTCGCAGACTGCCTGTCATACTTTATTTTTTAAACGGAAAACTAATCAACGGCCATTCTTCAAAACTGCCGTGATTTTTCTTGTCCGTGCGAAGAAAATTCTGCAAAAACTTCAAGGAATGATGTCAGTTCGTTCTCCTTTAAAAAAATACCATGGAGGCAGAGATTTTCAGACACCGCAAACGAGT